CCTCAGGACGGGAGGGAGACTGCAGGGGTGCCCAACAGTCACAGGTCTCCCCGGCAAGCCTTGGAATAAGGAAGAGGTGGCCGAGGGCGTCTTGTTCTGTCAACAGTTGGGATGCCTGGGATGGCTGCTAAAATAAGCTGTGTGCACAGAGGCAGCTGCGTGGGCAAACACATGGTCAGCATTTGCGAGGAGCCAGGCAGGGCAACGAGCTAATACTTCTGCCTTTTGCCTGCCTGGCACAACAAAGGAGAATGATTTTTGCCATCAGCATTCTCCCTATCACAGAATCATTGCACAATTTAGTATGATTAATGGTTTCCATTTAGGAGAAGCTGAGAGTGAGAACAGTGGGAGAGTGGCGGCACTCGGCTGGGGGTCGTTTGCGGCTGCAGCTCAGTGAAAGGAAGCGAGATCTAGCCAGTCCTGCTGGCCGAGCCCTCCACCTCTCCTTCCCCGCACGGCTGGGGAATCCCGGCGGGGCAAGGAGACACGTGGCTTCTGACAAGCATTTGCCGAAACTGAAAGCTGCAAGCTTGTGGTGCACCTGTTTGCCGCTTCATTCTCGCAGCCTTCCCAACATCTGTGACGGAGCAGCCATAGCGAGGGTCATCGCCAGACTTTTCTATCTAAGAAGGGCTGGGCGGGTCTCAGCGTCAGGGCCTTGCGACAGGGCTAGGTAGCTGAAGCTAGCGGCTCTAACTATACCACTTCTTGTGCTGGCCACGCGGGGATGCCGCACAGGGAGGGAGGGACCCCACCCTCGTGCTGGGATGGTAGTGATGGTGTCCAACACAGCCGTCTGTGTCTGTCTCTGGAGCACCCAGGCCGCTGGACCTGGTCCCGGCTCTCCTGAGCTGGCTTCCCTGGGAGTTCTTCTCCACTCGGAAGCATCCTCTTCTTTCCACGTCTGTAGGCACTGCTTCTTCTCAGATCTCCCAGCTGCTGCGGGTGAGTAGTGAGACAAAGGCCGCCATAGCGAGAGGCTTGTGGGTGCTGATAGAAACCAATCAGGAAAACACAGAGAATTCAAGAGGGCCTGCATTTTTTTTTTTTTTTAAGCAATCGCCTTTGTAACGGAAGCCAGAAAGGAAGAAAATTTTGGTGATCTTGGCTGGGCCTAACGTGATTCAAGGCCCTTCTCGACGCCTTGGTGTCTCTGCAAGGAAATCTATTATTTTCCATAAACTGTCTTATGCATCTCCCGGGCTACATCTCTGGCTGTGTTAAGAATCAAGCCATCAAGAACAGCTGTGAGTGTTATATGCTTTCAGCAGCAGCAATGGGCTTTGGCAGGGAGGTAGGAGCAAAGAACCCAAGGAGGACATTTCAGGTGACAGTAATGGCATTCCCCTTCCTTGTCCAAACGATAAAGGCTGCATGCTCCTAATGGCAACACTACAGCTGCCCTCATCACTTTATTCTGGGAGAGGAGGTTAGAGAAAACAGGCCTAGAGAGAGGGAGAGAAAGAGAGAGAGAGAGAGATGGATAGTAATTTCGTCACTAGCTAACAGAGACTGATTAGTGCAGAAGACTCCCCTCCATAGTAATACTTTCTAATCAGGTCTGCTGGGTCTGAGCAAACAGCTTTTGTGGATTAGCTAGACTCCAGCCTGCCAGCATCCGTTGCAAGTTTAAACGATGAAATACACAACTACAGAGAAAACAAACCGAAAAGTGATAAAGTCACACATTTCAATATGCAGCAACCATTAAGAGATTTAAATATTTGCCTGCTATTAAAGGCTTGTATCTGGCTCTCGCAACACCAGCTCTGGAAGGCTGAAATATCAATTACAGATCAATTTTCCCCCTAAGTAAACACTAATGCAGGATAAACAGTATTAGAAGAAGCAATCGTAACATTGCTGACTTCAGGATGGACTTCTTGCTGGTAACAGCAAGTTTAAGCCTGGTGATTAATTAACCTGAGAAGACAGCACTTCGGGAAGATTTGCGGCGGTCACATCTGGAATATGACTGAGCCAGTGCCGTCTGCAGGGCAGCTGAAGTCCCGGGCCCAGGGCAGGCGTTGATTTGCCCCGCGGGAGTGGTCCCCACCTTCCCCGGTTCTCATCACTTCAAAGGACTTGGAGGGAGGAAAACTGGTGCAAGAGAGGAAAAGCAATAGACTTAAAGTCAGGTTTCTCCCAGGAATTAATTCACATTCAGGCTTGAGCTGTATTTCTGCACACTGACCACTAGGGGCAGTAGACATTTTATGGCCACTTGAATGAAAAACCAAATACAGTTTCTAAGAGCTTGGATGCTGAGGATGGTAGACTTTAAAACACAGCCGATTCTTGCTCTCAGTCTTGGTTGTGGGGTCCTCCCATTATCCTTGTATCCAAAGCCCTTCTCCTACCATGTGGTGGGTGATGTGGGGGTCCTGAATGCTGCCAATCCAATCAGAGGCCCATTTTGACATGTTGAAATACAGCATTGGGGGCTCTCACAGAATAAGAATATAGAGACTAAGGTGGCCAGGGGTTTGGCCACCCTCCCTTTGGTCAACTCCATCTGCTTGCTGAGTAGCTATTATGATCCTACCACCGGCTCTGTTGATACTGGCCCACAAGGTCATGTGCATGGCAGCCAAGAGCCCCTTCTTCCTTCTGCAGAGGTTGGGATGTGCAAGTGCTTCATGATGGAAATACGTCCAGTCCTACACATGTGGCTGTAAATACAAACTCCACCGTGAAGGGACTTGGCTGCCAGCTCTTTAGGACTAAGGACTATGTACTTGGCTTCTTGGCAAAACGTGTCTTAGTCTGAGGTGTAATTTTATAATGAAACAAAAATGCCCTCATGTAAGCAGTGTCTTTCCACCTGTAGCACGGTGAGTGTACATCTGCTTTCAGGTTCTGGATGACAGAATCAAAGGAACATTTCTCCCTGGAGTGACTCCACAGCGGGACAAGAATTGTGCCAATTAACACCCACAGATGACCTCGGGGTTCCGGCTGATGTGTCTGGGGAATGCAACTGGGTCAAAACGCTTGCGAAGTGTCTCTGGAGGGAAGAGAACCATTGCCACTCTCGTGTGCAAGGCACGCCCCAGCAACTCACCATCTCCTGCTCTGGGGGCTGTTTCTGGGGCTTTCTGACTTGCATGCTCTAAGGAGCTCACATGACCAACGGTAGCAAGCTGCTACCTCAAGTCTGCCCCAGTTCAGTGAACTTCTGGGGTCCCCCCTTCTGCAAGTTTCAGCTGAATCTGGAGCCCCGTGCTACAGAGGGGAGGGGGCTGGGGGCTGCAAAGAGGCTGCGTGCCACGTGGCTTGCCAGGCTACACCAGGAATGGGGAGGAAGGGCCACTAAGCATTCTAAGGGGGCGGTTAGTGGGGCCATGATGCGTCCAAACACTTGGGAATCCAAAGAGCTCCCTTCGAGTATAACCACTTCCTGGATACACGTCTATCTTTTTAGTCCCCATTGGCCTTTATCCAGCCTGTGCCCAACATGACTTACTTTGCTGCCCAAGCACTGACTTCAAGTCTCTGTCTTGACACCTTGAAGGTTGTGGGGAGCTCCACTGTAAGAGCAGGAGGCCAAGGCCAGGGAAGCGGGGGGGGGCCACTCGCCGGAGGCGGGGCAGGAGTGTGAACCCAGGAGTCTCGCTCTGGCCTGTGCGCTGGATCTGCACCCTCTGTGGGTCTTTTAATAAAGGTCTGAGGAATGAAGGCTCCCCACTGCTCCCCACGCGCCGCTCAAGTTGGCAGAGGCTCCTGAAATCTCAATCCCCGTGCCTGGACTGAGGACAGCCAGAAGACTGATGGCGCCCTACACGCACGATCGCTTTTCCTTTATTCTTCCCACGCAATCAGCAGGCGGGCTGGGCTGTTGCTGTCTGCAGCCCGGACTCACACTCCTTCTCCACTAACCCGCCCTTTAAGATCCAGCTGGGGTCGCAGCCCCTCTGGGAAGCTGACTCAGCAGTCTTCCCCAATCTCCCCCTCCAGCTGATTCCCACTGCCCTGCCGGCCCCTTCACAGTGCTTGGTGCAGCATGCGGGGCTGAGGGGCACTGCCCGTTTCCTGTGGTGGGACTGATGCCCCGGGAGGTGGCTTTCGGGCCACCCCGGCACTGCTCTGCATCCCTGACAGTGCCGGACACACGGCAGGTGCTCTGGGATGGCGTGCTGCTTAACTGATCTTTTTTTGAGACGGAGAGAGAGAGACCAGGGTGAAAGAGGCCAAAGTGAAAGACAGGCTTTGGCTTTTCTGGAGCTTACCTTTCCCTTCAACTGCTGAGCGCGCCCCATTACCTGGCCGAGAGAGCAAAGGGGGACTTGACGGCAGCTGGGCGGAGAGTGGGGGAAGGATGCTCTGGAGCTGCCCACAGGCTACCCTGGCATGGCTAACATCAGCCACTGTCAAGTGCGGCCACTGCCCCCTGCAGCCTGCAAGGCAAGCACAGCGACCGGCGACCCCGCCCCGGAAGCCTCAGCACCTGTTAAACAGTAAGTGAGAACTCTTTCGTGCAGGCAGCCAAGCCCGGGCTCCATGCTCCAGTCTTCTTTCTTTCTTTTGCGAAAGGAAAGAGAACTTGAAATGAAGGAGGGAGAATGAGTCGTTAAGACACGAAATCCCAAAGGAAGAGACAGGTGGAGCAGCCAACACAGGAAAGTTGGTGGGGGGTGGTGAGTGAAGAGGTGGGTGAGGGCAGGAGACAAATCCACAGGAGAGCGCTGTCCTGCTGGCCCGCCAGCGCGTCTCGCACACCTGCACAGAGCGTGGAGTCCACGTGGAGGAGCCCGACCCGGCCAAGGCACCCGGCTCACCTGTCCACTGAGAGGGGAGGAGAGAACAAGGACAGGACGGGTGAGTGGAGAAGAGAAGAGAGAACGCGGTCCCCAGACACCCCGCCGGCAGCACATCCCAGCACCCACCGCCAGGGCTCGGCGCCCAGCACAGGGTCCTAAGGAGGAAGCTGGGCCCAGAGGCCCTCCTCTCGTCTCCCGCCGAGGCAGCCACAAGAAGTCCATAAAGAGAGTAAAGGATCACTTTGTAACATTAATTTTTTTTATTAAGAAGACAGATATTTTATAGTACTTCTTTTTTTTTCTTTTTTTTTGTAAAAATGGTATACATGAACCAATACAAAATGCGAATGAGAACATATGGATATGGAGTTTCTTACACTGTAACATTGTCCATGTACACCTTAAAAACAGAACTGGCCTAAAGGGAAAAATAAGACGCCGGTGTGACTAAAGAACAAGCTTATTTGGCATCAATTATACATCCTTCATTATTTTATATTCCTTTAAAAAACACAAAAAGAAAAACAAGTTTGTTCTTTCTTCACTCTAAAAAAAGTGATCAACCTGTACAAAGTAATACTCAACAATACATTTCAAACAGTGCACTGTATACTTAAGAAAAATACATAAACCAATATACAACTAAAACCCATAATTTCCTGTTTTTGCTTTGTTTTATTATTTTTTTCCAATGTGTGGGGCCTACACTTTGCAATCTACCTGAGACGGAAAACACCAATCGAAACACATGAACCTGAGACATGTCAACATTATAAGCCATAAAGTTACATCAGGAACACGGCACTACTGTACACTTTTCAAAACAGAAGGACGGGCGGTCCCAAAAAATGAGATGCCAAATTCTGTGAGCAATGGTAGGTTTTTTTTTTTTTTCTGTTTGTTTCATTTTTTTCTAAAAAGAACCAAAAAAAAAATTCTTTCAACAACATGCTAAATGCTTCTCACCCTGTGACATGGTTATACTATGGTCAGGATGGGTGCTAAGGGCTCGGAGCAGAGCTGCACATTATAAAATCCATTGAAAAAGGGATGTTCGCTGTGGCTTTTTTTTTGTCTTGGTTAAGTGCCTAGGGATAGGAGAGGGGTAAACAAAATGCTGCTCGAAAAAATGGATTTTTCTTTTACATACCAGTCCGTTCCCAAAAGGCCCCCATATTGCAATGGTTCTATCAAAGATGAAAATAAAGACGAGAAAAATAAACACGCTTTCAAATAACAAAGAGTTGACACTTTTTTTTCCCCTTGAATAAATCAGCGGAAGGTTTCCACATAATGTAACAATAGTAAAAATGCACCTTGCAAAATCCAAAATTACTCACTGAAAATGTTATATAATATATATTTATATATATATATAGAGATCTATCTTTTTCGATGCCATCTTTCCATAGGGACTGTTCTCTGGAATTTGGAGCCTTACCAACACATATGGTAAGAGTTTAGTTTGCGTCCTTCAGAACGACTTCTAGATTTCCTAGACATTTCAGTGAAAAACAAAAACCCCCACCTTTCTTTAAAAGAACCTTAAGCGGCAACTCGACTCCTCTCCCTTCCCCCAAGGCTCCCCACCCAAGTCGTGTCCAGGGTAACTTATTTTAGTAGCTATGCGCTATGGCTGCCATCATGCGAGGATCAGAAATGTTTTGGCAGATGGTTCTTAAGGCTGAGGAAAGAGGCCAAGGCTAGTGTATGAAAGGTAAAAAGATAAAAACACTCACATTGGAGTTTTGATTAAGTAACTGAAAATCCCTACCTGCTGCTTGTCCACCTCTGCGCTGACCTTTCGAGAACCGAGGTGGACAGCAGACCAGTGTGGGAACAATACCGGCCCTTCTTTTTTGTGCCTCCTGCCTTTGTCAAGCCAAATCTGAAGGAATGAAAGTTTCACACGGTTTCAAGTTGGAAATCCCAGCATGACAAATATCTGTAATATACAGTACATGCAGGCCACATCCTACTGCCTCCCTAACTAAGCACAAAAGAAAAAAATAAAACCAAAAACCCGGCCCATTCAGTCACTCGCACAACACACGGACTTGCTTTTTCCTACAAATTAGTGAGAAGTCAGGCCGATTGGGAAAGGTGGATGGGATCATTTGGAACAGAAATAACCAGAGCAGAACGGTCTTCCCCCCCTCCCTACTTCCCCTCCTGCGGCAACTCAAATTTGTCCACTTACATAAAAGGAACAGACCTCACCTGTCAGGTCTGTTTAGGGCATTGAAAATGAAGGCGTCCTTTCTGCCCTAAACCTTTCTGGACAGCGTGGGGTTTCTATACTGAGCCGTCTACAGATACGGAATTAAAGACAGATTCAATCTCATTGTGACACACCTCACTTGCAGGTAACCCTGTACAGTAATGCAGTTCCACGGCAAACAGAACATTTTCTGAAATCACAGTCTAATTTTCTAGTCTTCACTGCTCTACGTATTTGCAACATGGGCAGCAGCAAAGAGTTTTCATTGTTCACCCAAATCTTTACGACAACAGAGAAGAATGCATTATGGATACACTAAATTCTGAACTATGAAATCTAAACTGTGCTGGTTCTCCTTTTTATGAAACTGAAGTTTGAACAGAAAGCAGTTACTGCAAAAATAAAACGAAGTTAAAACAATTAAAAAAAAAAAAACCAAAGGGGGTGGGGTTGAGGGAGGAAAAGATTCTAAGGAATCCCAGCAGGTAAGTTCCAAAAGGGGAGATTTTGGAAAAAAAAAAAAATTTCAAAAATATTTTGGGAAAAATAAATGCGCACAAAGGCAAACTAAAAGGAACACAACCAACGAAAAAACAAGGCACAGAATTTTCTGCAATCTACTGAAACTCAACCCAAGTGTCCAAGTTTGACTTGGTAGGAAGTAATACAAATTAAAAAAAAAAACAAAAAAAACCAAAAAGAGGTGTCAAACAGCAGAGCGTACTTTCAAAGAACATTTTGTTGATACACAGCAAATCCCAAGCCTTCCCAGTCTCACACCTTTCCACCCATTCATAAAAAAACACACGAATTTCTCTGGCAAGTTCCAATAGCACTGTCTCTTTATCATCTAAATAGGGCCAGTTGGACACCTCATTGAAACAAAAGGCTGCTCTAGATGAAGTACTCTTTCTTTTCTTCCGAGTTGTTCTGTCCTCCTTCTGCATTGATTATAGCCGTGTCTGCGTCTGCTGCGTCATCGGCTCCTTTGGCTTCATGAGTGAAGTATGTACCTGAAAGATGAAGGGGTAAAGCACCGTGACTGTCTGATGGCCTCTGTGTAAAGTGGCACAGAGATGGCAACTTGCTTTATGGCCATCATCAGCCGAAGTGGTGTGCAGGCAGCAGAGGGGAAAAAACAATTGGAAGAAGAGCGCGCGAGGTGGGTGAGACAAATGGGCATCCGGGGGTTCCAAAGGCACCACTCCAACTGAACCGCTGCGATATAATTCAGCAAATGAGACATTAGAGCAGTGATGATGGCCAGAGGATGTCAGCAGAAGACGGGAGTGGGAGCTAAAAATGCAGAAAGCGGGAGAGCTGCTGACTAACGTGTCAACGGCAAACACCAAAGACCAATGACCGGGATGAGCACGGACGTGGTTAAAGACCAAAGCAAGGAAGAGCAATTAGCCAACGAATGAATTAGGGCCCTGGCGATGCTGCTGCTGCTGCTCTTGTCATCTCAAGGCGTTTGTTTGAACCATAGTCTCCTGGCTCCATGAATCATTACTGTCTTTCCATAGGAGAGAAGGAACTGGAACTCGCACAGGTAGGTTTGATTTTCCTACGCCTTCCACCTCACAGTGGCTTCCAGATGGAGAAATCATTTGAACGTCATAAGAGCCGGCAGCGGGGCCTGGGATGGGTCTTGATGGACAAGTGATTCCCTCTCATCAGGTAACTCTAGCGGGCCCCGGATTCATGGAGCTGCTAATTGGCACGGCCACTTTCTAACGACAGTAGACAGCACGTTACAAAGTTGGAGACGCTCTCATCACCAAAGCCCAACAGTACACATGGAGAAAGACAAGGACTGCACCTCGGTATGGCACACAGGCGGAAGTCAGTCTGTCATGCTCGTACAGCCCTCCGCCCATCAGGCCCTGTATTCCTGAAGATTGTTCTATCAAAAACGGCTACGACACTCGCTGCGTTTTCAGCTTTGCAAAGCGGCAAGGCTGAGAAAGCAGGCGGCCGAGTGCTTCCCTCCGGTACCCTTTGCGTTTTTCTTCTGCAGAGTGGGGCCCAGGGCCCCCTGCCCAGGTCCACGGCGCTTGCCCAGGCCCTGCCCTGTTCTCTGGCCTCTCCGCCTTGCCGGATGCAGCCACCTGAACGCTGAGGGGGCAGGAGTTCGTGGCCAGACGATTGTCCCCGGAGCCTGGGCAGAGGGCGGAGGACAGACAGCTCTGAGAGTCCCAGACTGTTTGATGCTCGAGACGGACACTCGGTTTTCCTAAAGGTGTGGCCAAGCCTCTCGGACCTCCACTGCTGTGCTCAAGGGACCGTCCCCAGACCCAAATGACAATCAAGCAGAAGGCAAGCACCTAGAAACCCCCACAGCTCACTGCACAGTGCTTGAGAAAAAACAACGGAGAAAGACAAGGGCCGACAAAGAAAAGGCAGAATAAATTACCAAGAGGGGAGAAGAGGCTCAGAGCAGCACGGGGCGGGGGTGGGGGGCGGGGGGAGCACTGGAGAAGATGATTGCCCATCCAGACTGCACAGCTGATAAGTGTGATGATTAATGGCAATTTAAATCAATTGCGCTGATAGTTTAAAAAATACATATTTATGTGGCTTTTAAGGCAAAGGCTTTTCTTTACCCTGGGCACAGGGTATCCTGTTGCTGTGACTGGCTTACCCACTGTTTCTGGGCCAGGGATCAGGGCTGGTCCACTCGCCTCCCTGCGAACAGCAGGTGCGGGCATGCTGTTTCCACATGTATGGTTTGGGGGTTCCTCTGACACCTTGCACAGCAGCCCTGACTTTTATCGGTTTTACTTTCTCCCCCCAGTTATGGATCGGAGAATCCCAACTCTACAAAGGTTCATATTTAAAGAAAATCCAAATCAAGGAGTGCTACTCATCAACTCCCAGCGACCCAATCAACTGCTGCTAGGATTTCTGCTCTTCTCTCTCAGGAACCAGGCTCTGCGGCCACACAGACCAGACTGCCTATCAGGGGCCACCTTGGAGAGTCCCCAGACGCAGGGGCTGTGGCGACATGTCGCTCCTGCCTGCCAAAGCTCCTTGCTTACCTTTATGTCTGGCAAAATAGCGCCCCAGAATGATGAGCAAGCACAGCATGGCAAACACCACCACGGCCACGACGCCGCCGATCACCGCGTGATCCACCGCCCGTATCGAGCCTTCTTCACCTGCTCGAGAATCTGTTGAAATCAGAAGAGGAACAGGGATGTAGAGCTTGTTCCGACACACCAGGAGCCCTGGCGACACTGCCTCCGGGGTCAGGAGGTCACCTTTTTAGTGGAGGACTTGGGAGATGGATCAAGCTGCACGGAGGGAACACACTGCCCTGTCCAGTGCTGAATTGATCCGTTTCTCCCCACAAGGCGATTGCGCTATAAGCAGCCTAGGAGCACTAACGCACGTGGAACAGCTTAGGGAGGCAGGCAGGGCGGAAATAGCATCTAACCAGTCCCGAGCTAGTCTCAGCGTCCACTCTATCCGCACCTATTTGCAAGCCCTAATGAAGGAGGCTGACCTCACCACTTAAGGGCACTGGGAATGGCACCTGTAGGCAAAGACAGGAACTGCAGAGGGGAGGGGAGAGCACCTGCCTACGGACGCCCCAGTGACTTCTTTCCTGATAGGGACACGCAGGAGGAAAAGCAAGGAGCTCACACAGCCACGGCTGCCTTGAGATAGAACAAGGGTTGTTAAGACTAAAGACAAGTGACGTGCTTACTACATCTAGGATGTATGAGGGTGTAAGCCTCGATTTAAAACCCAAAAACCTATTTCAAAACAGACAGCAAGGAATAATTGTCCATTGCCACAGATGGCTTTTGTTTTATTTATTTAACACCTCGCAGAGCAATTAATTTCCTCTTATAAGCATCAGTCCCTCAGGATGTCTTCTTCCGGCTGAGGAGCGACCTGTTTGGCTGTGGAACAACTCCAGAGTGAACCCAGGATGAGCTATGGCGATGCAGAATGGATGTATGGCAGTGTAAACAATTTTAATTTAGGAACGTGGCTACATCACCCCTTGCTGAAATCCTAATGGCACCCGAGATTTATAATGTAGTAAAAAACAATTATTCTCCCGTTGATTAATACATTAACATTTTGGAGTGGAAGCTAAACCATTGTCTTTTTTTTTTTTATTGAGTCAAGTAAGACACCTCCATTAAAATGATTTACTGGCTGTACCTTACGATTTAAGCACAGCAGCAACAGAAACGGTAAAAATCTTTTAACTTTACATGATTTGTGAAGTCATATGTGAAGGATTTACCATTTAAATCTTTCAGTACAAGAAGCACATGGCCCATAAATCTGTCCCCCTTGCAGCCGCTGGACGCCTAAGAGAAATGCATTTCACCAGGAAGACTGAGAGTGCAAATTCAAGTCAATTTTTAAGAAAGATTTATCTCTGTCTCTCTCCAAAGAACAGAGCAAATCTCTGAAGCCTCCACCTCTAATAATATTTGAAGTTTATCGATCAAGTGTACAGATCCGTGACAGCTAAAGGTAATGGTGCTCTTTTGAGCCGAAACCTGATACAAGGCTTGCAGCAGGAGGGCATGGTTTTACACTTTCTATCGATATTTCCAATTCTGCTCGGAGATTAAGGACTGGAGGATGTGGGGAAATAACTCGTGACTGAGGGTTCCATGAAAAGTGTTTTAATTAAAAGAGTTCAATTTTTTTGTTGTTTAAAAATGGAGTATTTAAAAGTGTTTCATTAACATCACCTCTGGAAGGACTACAGAAAAACCCCAAACCCACACCCAAAACAGAAACGCCAACTCCGAGGCGGCAGCAGGTCGCCAGGACACCAGGATGATGGGAGTTTAATTGGAGAATGGAGATGGGTTGGAGGCAGAGTGCAGCGCAGCCAATTAGCCCGCTCCGTGATGTGCAAGCCCCTTCAGCAACACGTCTAATAAGCTTGACTTGAAACGTGCTGGAGAGGGCTCTCCTTCCTCAGCCCGGAGCGCTGCCGACCGCAGGTGCCACAGCCTCGGTCGTCTTCGGAGCCAATCCAACAAGGCAGAAGCCGGCCCTGGGAGGCAGCAGAGCTCGGCGAAGGGGAGCACGTCCCCCGGGGGTGCTGCTGGACACAGGGTGTCCACGGGAGGAGAGGACACCTCCCACCCCAGAAGCTCCCCCCTACCCCACCCCAGCCGCACAAATCCAGAGCTGCTCACGGTGGGGGTCCAAAATAACAGGAAAGTCAGTGAGCTGTGTTTTCCTTAGGGAGCTGTCAAAATAGGGGATCTTGTGGGAATGAGAATTAATCTCCAATCGCCACGAGCTTAGACCCTCTGAGATTTATGTGTCTTTCAACAAACTCCATATGTCTTAGAAGTGGGCGAGGAGAGCAGAATGGGGCGAGCAGCAAGGAGGGAGGACTGCCAGGTGCGAGAGGCAAGAGGTGAGGACAGACACCCCCCCCCCCCCGAGAAGACTGCGGACAGACAGAAGCTCTGAGATGCTGCCCCAGGCCCAGCTCTTATCCGTTCGGGGAAAGGCAGTCTCTTGCCCACTGTTCAAAGACTGTTTCCTCCGTGCTAGGCACAGGAACATTCTAGAAGCCCAAGAAGAAAAAGTCAGAGGGAGAGCCAGGGAGGGAGCGAGCGAGCACACTCTATGATAAAGTAAAACAAAAACCAACTTCCCCCAAACAAGAGAATCTCAAGGGTGTGCACCTGTGGGGTTGATTGTTTGAGCCCAAATTATTCATTTGATTTTTGTTCCCCATGACTTTAGAGCAAAACGCGCTCCGTGTTGCTTGTCCCCCTCTGCACTATGCCAGGTTAAACACCTGGGGCCTGGGTATCGTGCCCACCCTCAAGGACGTACGTATCTCCCAGGCGCTTATTTATAAGGGTAATCTCCCCAGCTATCTCCTGATACTCACTCTGATCAGAAAGTTTACTACCACCACTTAATCAGCCAGACATCTTTCCTGCCTTCAATTACCGCAGACGGACACAGAAGGTAACTGAGGTTTAATTTACAGGGAGCGCTGCATGTTATGAACTCCTCACCGCCTCGGCCCGCCTCACTCCCACCTCCTGGGCTGTGGCTGCTCCCCAGCGCCTCTGTCACGGCTGGGGCCGCCCCCGGGGAAGAGCAGAGCTGTTTCCAGACTCCTCTGGCTCCACAAGGGCGGGTGGGAGGTGGTTCCCACCTACGGGCCGGCATCCGGCTCTTCATATAAAGCGGCAGCACAAAGTGCTACAGGCAGTGGTACTGGGCTAAGCGAATCGGCCTGCAATGGAGCCTGAAGGAGCCGTGAACCACCAGAAGGTCCATTAGGCCCTTGACCTTTCCTGCTCCACTCACAAGGCCAGAACTCTGCCCAGTTCCTTGAGAAATTGCTTCCAAGTGGAAAGGCCCTGGCTTTCCCCGTCAGCCTAAGGCCTAGCTCCTCTCGGGGCCCAGGCAGCACAGCCTCTCCAGGTTCCTGGCTTCCTGTCTGATTCAGGCGGAGGCAGACTCTCCAGCTGCCCCAGCTTCTCAACTGAAAAACTGGTGAACACGCCCGGACCCTGGGCACATAAATGGGCATCTCCTTGCTTTAGGAAGTCACATCTTCTTGTCCCCTGAGAAGGCCCAACTGTTCCTCTCACTTGGTAACAGGCCCGAGTTTCTATCCTAGGACACAGCTCTGGTCCCAGCATCCTGAGAAGCCAAGCCTCGTTCCTGTCTGATCCACGCTCACAGCACGACGGCTGCTCCAGCGTTGAAGAACCCAACGCGCTGGGTGCTGTGTTCGGAGGTGATTTGTCCCCGGAGGGCTCACGTGTTGGGAGCCTGGCCTCGGGTGGCAGTGGTGAAGCGGCCAGGGCTTGTAAGCCATGGGGCTCATGAGGGGGTCTCAGTCCCTGGGGTGTGCCCTGGGAAGGCCTTAGGGAGATTCTCCCAACTCCACGTCTCCCCGAGAATGCTGTTGTTAGAGACCAAGGCTGGCCAGGCCCCACTGTTCCTGGTTTCCTGTCTGGCCATGTGATCCTTTGTTCCCACCACTGAGGTGCCATCTGCTACGAAGCCCTCACTAGAGCCACATAAACATCTTGTCTTTCCAAAGTCCCCAGACTTGGGCATTGGGTTACAAGCAGGGAAAACTGGTGAGTGTTTGGGTAGCACGGTCCCCTCTGGAGTTCTGAATCTCAATCAAATCCTGTGCCGCAGGAGCGCGAGTGGACCGGGCCCAGGCCTCCAGTGACTGACTCGTAGACACTCGCCGTGAATGCCAGCAGGGGCTCTGTGCAGCTCACGGCTGTGGGGCAACCCTTCCTGCCCATCTTAGCCCATTCCACAGCCGCTCCTCTCACTCTGAATGTGATCAACAAATCATGAATCTTTCAGTATTTGTGAGTTAGTTTTTTGTTGTTGTTGTTGTTGTTTGGCACCAAGTTGAAACAACGCGGCTCCAGGTGGGAGCGTGAGGCCAGCTGCAGAATGGAACGGCAGCTACCACTGCTCGGGTCACACCTTCAGCCACTCTGCTCTCCCCTTAGCATCTCAGAAATCACAGGACGAAAATCTCTCTCCGAGAAGCTCCCAGGAGTAATGCCCCAAATAGGCCAGCTTGCTTTCCTCTGGGCCAGTTGACCGGGCCTGATCCATACCTCCCAGGCTGTATAAAGGGGACATTCTAAAGGCACTGCATCCCGAGGGCCTGCCGAGACAGGGGACTGCTGGTGCAACGCTGGCTCCCTCCCGAGCCTCCGGGGGATTCCTCGTCCCCTACAAGCTCTCCCTCCTCAGACTTGCCAGAGTGGCCTCACCGAAGCCCCCTGGCAGCCATGCTGCCTGTGTTCAATATCCTGGTTTCCATGGCGACTCTTCCAGGCGTGGGCTGGGAACAGAGACTGTCATGGGCACACCACCACCACGCACCTCTGATAAGCCTGGCAGGTTCTGCTGCCAAGGGCGGGATCTGAGAATAACCAGGCAGTGGCCAGTATATCCTAGGCAAGCTCCTGGCAGGGACTCTGGCAGAGGGGCTCGCCGAGCAGTACCGTCACTGCCAGTGCAGCTGCCCACCCGGAAGCCCAGGGCTGCAGGGTTTCCAGTCCAACGTCAGCCTCCTTGCCAAAAGGCCACCGGAGGTCTCCTCCCGGCCAGGTACAATGCAGTGCGCAGCATGGGGCACGCGGCCGCGCACGCTGGCTTACCCTCCTGTCTCAGA